GTAAAGTTAATAAAAAGTAAACTAAAATGAAAGCGCTCTAGTTTTTGGTGTATTCTAACAGTATGTCGTCACATTAAAAACATTTTTTTCCAGTAATTCGTATTCTAATAAACTGAAAGCAACTCCGCTTTTCATATTTCAGTATTCCATCTGTAATTAAAGCCCATGGAGCGCATTTGAAAGCCAGTGCTGCAATGGTTCGTTTAAGACTTTATGATATCTTGGCTTTGTTACCTCCAAAAACTTATGAAGGTAAATAGCATGTGTAGTATCTGATAAACATGTTTTTATTATGCCTTTCTGTTTCTCCAGAGTTTCACAGAGTTCTAATGAAGGACTTGTCACTGGCTGGCTTGTGCACACAGGGAAGCAGCTGTGTTGCTTCTTCATATATAGTATCAAAGAACCCGTTATCTCTCATTGACGTTGGTTAAGCATTCAAACTTTAAAATTATCCCTTGGTTTTAAAACTAGATACCTTACAATCCTTACTACTTACAAAACTTAAAATCCTACATTAATTTTTATTCTGTTGTTCTATTTGTGACATGATCTACTGTAGATATTTAGTGCGTTTCAGGCATTATTCTAAGCCCTGTACATGGACTAGCACCGCTGACTATAAACACAACCTTTTGAAGCAATGAACCATATTATAGATTTGTAGATGAAAAATTTCAAACAGGAAAAGTAGCTTATTCCAGACATAGTCAATGTCAAAGCTTAGATTCAAACCCAACTTGTTAATCTTCAGTTTGCTTATCATTATCCTAATCAATTCTATTATTATTATCCTAATCAGTTTCCTATATATAAGGGGGCTTTTAAAAAGGGGTGGAAAAATGGAATAGAAAGACAAGGACCTTTTTTCACAACCTCTTTAAAGCCCTCCCATAGGACAAGCAATAATTTTAGAATCTGGATGGAGAATAGTAACATAGTTTGAGGAAATCAAATATATAAAACGCCAAAATTATGATAAACCATTGATTTATCTCCAGTACAGCCATAGCCAGGACCAAATGTTTTGCTGTGTTCTGGTTCAGTGTTTGTACATTGTTGGGCATTTGATGTCACATTAAATATTTTTAATATGAACAGTCTTTTCTGCTATTTGAGATTTTGGTTACTTTAAATAATTTGGACTAAAATGCAAAATATAATCATAAAAAAGGAATTGACATTAATTCTACATTAAAACCATCATATTTAATATGAAAAATTTTTAAGGAACAAAGAATTGAATTATTGTATTCCTGTTGACCATTTGAGGAATGATTGTCACTTTCATATGACTTTTTCTTTCTGATCTGATTGGAAGTTCTTCCTTGTAGGATCTTTCAATGCACTTCTTAGGGAGCTGGTAGCAGAATTCACTTTGACTGACAACTCTGCCAACACGACTACATCCCTGCTCAGATCCCTCTGCCACTACGACGATAGTGTTCTGCTTGGCTCCTGGCTTCAAGAAACTGATCATAAATCGATTGAAGACCAGGTAGTAAACCAGACAGGGAAACAATGGTCCTTTTACATATTGTTGGTTCGCAAGAAAACAGTAGAGATTTAAGGTTTAATTTTCTTTTAGCTTTCTTAAAGAAACTCAGCTCACTGGCATACGCTTGGTTCTGACTTAGGGTAACCCTGTCGAACAGAGTAGATATACCCCTGTGGGTTTCCCAGACTGTAACTCCTATGGGAACAGAGAGCCTCCTCTTTCTCCCATGTGGCGAGCACCTGGGGGTTTCGAAAGGCCAGTGTAGCAGCCCAGCGTGTGACCCACTGCACCCCTGGCTCCTTTTCTTAAAGGTAGTGCTAGGTAAATGGTGAAATGATGAGATAAATAGTGATAGAATTTGGTGAATTGTCTTTATTCAGTATTCTGTATTTAGATGACCTGTGGTGGTTATCACAAAATCAGTGCTCTCTAGCTTTTTGATTACTTGTGTTTTGATGATAAGTTAGAGAAGAATGGGGGAGTAAATTGAAAATTTAGAATTTTTTTTTTGTCCCGCTGATTACCTTGTTTTTTACACACTTTGAAAGTGGATATACATATTCCAGATATTTCTTTGCTTATACATTAAGGTGAATAATGAGAAAATATATGGTTTACAGTCAGTAAGCTTACGAATAAAACAAAATACTTGCTTAATCTAAAACAATGATCGTCGTACATATTGTCATTTAATTAGAAAACATTATAGATTTAGTGCTTAATTTTCAATTTAGCTTTTTGAGACACTTAAAGATAGTGTTAAAAAAAAAGGATTGTGTTAGCTGAAATGAAAAGCATACTAATAAAAAGGAATTACCATGATTTTGCATTCAAGCCAACATTACAAATATTTAATATAGAGTTTTTAAAAGGGGGACAATGGAACTGGTTATTTTATTACTGTTAACCGTGTGGGAAATGATTGCCATTTTCATATAAATGATTTATGATTGTTTATGGTATTATTGATGGCTCTTATTCTAATGACAATTATATGTTATTTCTTTTTAAATATTCAGATCCTCTTGTGTTTTGGTCTCTTCTCCTTCTGTGCCATTCCTCTTTCCTCGTACATAGGAAAATGAATGACCTAAAGTGGGGTTTGAAAGCTTCTCTGTCATTCCTTTGTAGCTCCAGCCAAACAGTGCATCTGGAAGTGGGGCGCTGGAGCACGACCCATCCTCCATTTACTTACGAATACCCGCTGGAGAAGCCGTCCCTGGTCCGCTCCCTCTCGGTGTCTCCGTCATCGATGCCTCTGTGGCTCTTTTTGGTGTAGTATTTCCTCATGTTTCTTATAAACATCGGTTAGTACAAAGTCATTCAGATGATTCTAATCATGTTTTCAAACAGTAGATTTTCCTGCCTCAGTCAGCTCTGTGATAAACAGTAGTCTCAAAAAAAATCCTGATAACATTTGTTTAAGATGATTTAAGTCTGGGACTAAAAAGATTAATTTATAGTAACTGATATTTTCCTAACATAAGCAATTTAGTCTCCAACATTTTGTGCCCAGAGACTAGGCCTAACTTTAGCCTTTTGTTAATTTTTGGTGGTTTCTCAAAAGAAGAGTGAAGAGGAAATAATCCAAGACTTTCACAGGCGACTCACAAGTTTTACAAAATATAACTTCAAAACATTGTGTTTGGATATAAAAGACAACTTATCTTTAAACACATTATTTACTTGATTAATTGGTTTTAAGCTGAGGGAAAAAATAAATCTAAAATGTTACCGAGATATCTTAAGAAAATTTTGTTGAAACAGAAATATCAAAGTATATTAAAGGTGAAAGAATCTCATAAAGCACCTACTGTATATACTCGAGTATAAGCTGACCCAAATATCAGCCAAGGCACCTAATTTTACCACAAAAACTGCATTAAAAAATGTGCTTAAAATCAGGGCTTTTGCAAGAGTATATATGGTATTTTAGCATGCTTATTTTTTAAAATATTTTATTTTGTTTTAGGTGAAAGTACACACCATGCATTTAATAGTCATATGCAAAAATTCTGTGACATTGATTCTATCCCTACAATGTGCCAGCCCTCCCCTATTTCCAGTTCCTGTCCCTCCAATTTTCCTGCCCCTCATTGCCTTCTATCTTTACTTTTGGGCAAACGTCGTTCATTTGGTTTTCTATAATTGATTGTTCTAAGTTGTTACTACTTATTTATAGACCGAATTATTTTTTGGCTAAATGGTGACCACCAGGAGTGGCTTCAGTTCCAGGTTGTACGATGTTAGGGCAGTAGTCTCCAGGGTTTCTCCAGGTCCTATCAGTCCAGTAAATCGGCCTATTTTGATGAAGCTGAGGTGTCTTCTACATTTTTCTCCCATGCTATCCAGCATCATCTTCTGTGACCCCAATCAATGAAAGTGGTTGGTTGTAGTAGCCGGGCACCATCTAGCCCTGTCCTCAGGCTAGAGGAAGCTGTGCTTCATGTGGACCATTGGCCCTGGATCTTTTCTTTCCTTCGTTAGTCCTGAATCTTTGTTTCCTTCACTCCCCTCTGCCCTGGATGGGAAGAGACCAGTAGTTGTATGTTACCTGACTGCTCAGAGGCTTAAGTTACTCACCAAATTAGGATCTAGAAATTGTCCTATTAACTGTTATGACAATTGCCCTAGATACCTTCAAATCTGTGCAATGTTTGGATATGTCTAAGTCTCCATATCTATGCCCTAACATGCTCTATTATGTATAGGAGCATGTATGCAGCACATACAGATGTGTATGGACAAACGCCCACAGCTCTACATGCATATACAACACGTGTACTCCTATACAGTATACCCTATTCTTTTCCTATAAACTATCTCATTTTAACATTTAAGATAATATAAAAAAACCACATCACTTCAGGGTTTATGCATTTAAAAACATGTCTCAAGCTAAATCTTTTAAAAAATTTCCCAGTCAGTTTCCAAAGAGAACATGAGGTCCTGTTTTTTTTCTGTGTGAGCAATTTAAGTAAAAGGTGGGTAGGAGGGTGGGGGAGTGGGAGGGGGGAGAAGCAACTTTTTTATTCCCCGAGTCTTTCATGCATATCATTGTTCTATTTAAAAACCTTGAGCACTTCTTGACTGTAAGGTACTTTTCTAGAAACAAGCCTTCATTGGGAAGAACATTGAAATTATGATCTTATTTTACTCATTGCAACTTAATTTTCTGATCTCTTGTTCTTTTACCAGTTAATGACTACTTGCCTATGTATTGACTTAGCAGTGTAAGATCTAGTCTGGACCAGCTGTGAGAATGAAATCGAAAAGAGGCAGTATAGGACATTATTTGCTAGATAATTAGTTTGTATTCTACTTATCTTTGATCTTTGAGCTATATTTAAAGAAAAATATAGAGTTAATCATCTACTTGTTCTCTACTTTTAGATTGCAAATGTTGGATCACTTTGCTGAATGTGTTAAGCAAGCCAAAGGTGTCCGCCAACAGGCTGTGCAGCTTAACATCTTTACTGCTGTCTTGAGTGCACTAAAGGTATATTTACTTTATGTAATAAATATTCAAGAATACGTTTTTAACTGATGCCATTAATAAGTCAGTTCTGTTCAATCTATTAGGAGTTCTGCTGGTGTAGAGGTTACACATTAGGCGGCTACCTGTAAGGTTGGCAGTTTGAAACCACCCTCAGTTCTGCAGGAGAAAGAGGAGACTCTCTACTCCTGGAAAAAGTTACAATCTCAGGAACCCCTCAGGGGCAGTTCCACCCTGTCCTGTAGGGTTGCTGTGGGTCAGAATTGACTCAATGGCAGTGTTTTGGGTTTTTTATTTTTGTTTTTATTTGGTGTATAGTCTGTGCTAATGTTTCCATGTTTATCACTTGAAAACTCTGTTTTTAGTGTTAGTTGAAGTTATTACAAACTTTACATTAGGCTCATTGTTATTAAATATATATTTTATTTTAATAATGTTGAAGTTTATGTTTTGATTTGACTCTTTCAGTTTTATAAATCCCAGCCAGTACTTTCAGAATCTTCAAAGGTGCTTGACTAAAGAGGTCTTTTGTGCTACTGAAGGTTAATGAGCTAAAGCTTAAGTTTGACTTATGGCTAAGACCATAAGTCATGAGAAGTTGTGTTTTCTAGTCAGAAGACTGTGTTTAGACACTCTGGCTGTTAGCTATTCACTGGGTTTCTGTCTAGTGTGATTCCTTCAAGGTTTTTTTTTTAGTCTCAGTTTCCACTTGTACAAAGTGGAATTATAATTATTTCACCTATTTTACAGAGTTTGTGCATTGTATACTATGTAACTTCATATGCTATATTTGAAATTTAAAAAATATTATTCTGCTAAACTAGTATAAGATATTACTGTTTTAAAAGATAATGACAGCAAGAACAATTGTTTAAATGAATGGATCTTAAGTCACATTTAACCACAGTAGGTATAGAAACAAAGCCTTCGTACTATATTAAGGGAACAGTAAATGGAAAATCAGCTGTTTGGGATTGAGGCTCCTCCTGGGATTGTTAGCTTTTGAGCCAATTAGGTTTTGCCTACATTATATATATTTTGGAAAAAGACTAATCAATTTGGTAGGTATTGATTCTAATCTAAGCCTTGTAAAGTCATTTGAAGGTTTTTAGTCATGAAGTAATGTAGGAAGATATCTCTATATTTATGGTGATTGTTGCACAGGTTTTGGTAGCTCTAAATTGTCCTTTTTTTTTTTTTAATGTAGGGCTTAGCTGAAAACAAGAGTACGTTAGGACCTGAGGAGGTTCGCAAATCTGCTCTCACCCTGGTGATGGGTGCCCTAGACAACCCAAACCCCATCTTACGATGTGCAGCAGGAGAAGCGCTGGGAAGAATGGCTCAGGTGGTTGGAGAAGCAACTTTCATTGCTAGAATGGCACAATTTAGCTTTGACAAGTAAGTGGGCCGATTTCTCAGGTAAGTTGCTCACAAAGTCAATAATACAATGATGTCATAAGTAACCAGTGATTAGTAACGGGGCCACTTGTTTTCCACATTGTATATCAAGTAATAGTATTTGACATTTTTTATAATCTCAAATTTTTATTAAATTATTAAGCTGAGAAGTCATCATTTATGTGTTATTTTTACTGTGGGTCCACTTTTTTATTCGACTCTGGAATGTTCATGAGGGTATTGAGAAGCAGGTTAATGAGGACGCTTGTCAGTTAACATATTCCTTTATGAGGTGCTCTGAAGTCACCTACACATTCCCTCACCTTACTTTTTCTGTCCGATTCCCCCTCCATCAATTCTTTGTGCTCGTTACTCACTTTTTGGAATAAGTCACTTTTTCTAACTACTAGCAATAAATATGAAGAAACTGATAGGATACAGTTATTAGTAGCTGCCCCGTTGTTGGTTAGCTGAGTAAGTAGAGAAGTTGAGAATCCTAAACGATTAAGAACTGCCATTGTAACGTGAATTATCATTCTTGAGTATAATATATTTTAGATATTAATTATACTAAATTACAACTTAATCATGTTTGAGAGTGGAAGAAAATAGGGAGTAGTCATTATAAAATAATTCTGAAGAAAAAGATCTGGACTCCTGCAGATCTAAGGATGGCTTTCTTTGTCTCCACGTGATGGCAGTTTGGTTGCCCATCGGATAATAGCGCGGTATATTGTTGAAATCACAGAAAGCATGTTTAAGCAGGCAAGGTGCTTGCTCTTCTGCTGTCTTCTAGTACTTGATTAACTTTGCTCTGTCCAGTACTTGCCATTGATTCTGAAATCACCTTTTGCTAAAGATTTGCTCGATACCTGATATTTGGTGGCTTGTGTACTCTGTTAATACTCGGTGGAGTGAGTGGCAGAGTAAGTTATGAGTTGGACTGCTAACCACAGGTTCAGCAGTTCAAACTCGCCCCCTGCTCTGCGTGAGAAAGATGAGGCTTCTGCTTCTGAGAACAGTGGCCGTCTTGGCGACCCACATGGGCAGTGCTGCCCTGTCCTGTAGAGTCGCTGTGATTCGGAATGGATTCGAGACAGTGAGCTTGTGTTTGGCTTACGTGTGTGCTTCTTTAGAAAATTCTTGGACGATAACTTTTTTTTTCAGTATAAGGGGTACGTTGAATTAATTTTTAATGTTCTTTCTGGTAAAACAGAATGACATTTCACTTATGTTTAGCTATCTAATTAATGGTTTGTAAGTACTGTCAGCTCATTTTCATTAGCATTTTCAAATAATTGATTTTGATCTGCAATGAATCATTCCATAGACTTTAAGTTAGTCCTCGCCCACATCCACATTTAGCCTATCAGAAATTGAGACAATAATTGTCACAGTTGCTGTATGAAATAAAAATGCATTTTAAAATAATCTATGATTACTTAGGGTTGATGGAATCTGATATTATTCAAAAGAAGCTTTGGATTCCTACAGCCTTACTATTTCAGAGTTTTATCAACATTATCGATTACTGATATAATGCATGACCGTAGAAAGCCAAATCTCACCTAAACAAAGATCGGTTAGCTAGATTTGTTAATTAAAGTTAATGTGTCTTCGTATTAAGACAGACATTCACTTGGAATTATTTCTGTAAGCCATAGGTTCCTTACCACCACCTTTCAGGGAAAAATGAACTCAGTGTCCCTTTGGCAACTGAAAACTTTGGAGCAATGGGACATAATCCAGAATAGAGCGTAGGGGTTTGCCTTTGTGCCCCACCCACAACCCCCAGGATCTTCCTAGCACCCCCAAGGGATTTAACTATTTGGGAACCCTTGCTATAAACCATTCTAACTTAGAGGGGAATGGTTAATTTCCCTTAAATTTCTTAAATTTAAGCTTAAATTTCTTAATACCTAGTTTAGGAAAAAATGAAAATATCTGCTGGCTGACTTTGTTTCCAGGAAAATTAAAAACCACTTTAAGACGTCAAAGAAATATGTTTTTGTTCATTAGATTATTTGCTTTATCGAACAGAAGGTTGTTTCTCTGAAAAGTGACATTACGTTTTAGTACGGTAAAATGTTATCTTTTGAGAAGTAACAAATGAAGATGGTTTTAGTCTGTATAAGGCCATAGAATTTACAGATTAGATTGGTTCTTACCTACCTTCATTCCTCATAATGACTGCTACATTAATACAATAATATCTATTTTGTAACTAGAGAGATTAGATAAAGATCACTTATCCAAGAATAAAGCTTGTTGAAATATGGGAAACATATTTACATGATTTTTCATTTTTCATTTACATGAAACATGGGAAACAATTTACATGATTCATTGCTGCATGCATGTGTCCTTTAACGTTATTTGCTATTTTCTTCTTTTTCCATGAGGCAAACTGGCCACCCAGAGTCTTGATGACGATTTTTGGTCACTTTTTGATGTTTTGACTGTTATTTGCAGAGATTGCTAGAAGGATGGCCCTGCATGGCTGTCAGGTTTTGAAAAGTAGAATTAAAGTTGCTTTCTAGGTGCCCTTGTTACTTCAAGTGTTTTTAGTGATTTTTTTCTTATTTTTCAATGGTTACTATACTTGTGCATGCTTATTAATCATTGTGGTTTTTTTATTTAAAAATTTTATATTTTATTTCTTTGATTCTCCGGTTATTCAAAATAAGTCCTAGAAGTTTGATCATTTAAATCTTTATATTCCTAGGTAAATGTGAATGAAAGAATTACTCTTTTAAGTTAAATAAATATTTAAAATATATACATGACTTTTTTTGTTTTGTTCTTATTTTACACATGACTTTTTTTCTGCTAGTCACAGTGGAGTAATATGTGTCTTAAACAGCGTGGAATGAATTTTCAACTAGAAGTCGAATGTTTACCCACTGTGCTTCTAGGATGGTAAAAGTTGAGATTTTAAAAATTATAATAATACGGACTATAAAAGAAGATAGAAAAAGATATGGGACAGGATTAAAATTCAGAGGGGACAAATAGAACACAAATAGCAATATGATAGATTCAAGCCCAA